AAAAAAAAAAAAAAAAAAAAAAAAAAGTTGGAAGATTTCAAAATCATCGAGTAGAAAGTCTTTGGCAGGATGTAACCTTTTCCTTATCTCCAGAGGCCACCAAGGTGGATGTGCAATTATGAGATGGGCCTGCAGGGGGCAGTATCTCCAAGTATTTCAGCTTGAACATCACTCTAGGTGGACTATGTGGGTACCAGGGCTCCTGGATACTTTCCTTAGTTCTTGCCCAGCTGGATTCACTCCTGCTTGCGAAAAGCTGACAAAAACAAGGACAACAAGATGAGCTTCAAGGAGCTGCAGAACTTCTTAAAGGAGCTCAACATCCAAGTGGATGACAGCTATGCCCGGAAGATCTTCAGGGTGAGGCTGGGTCTGTGTGTCAGTGGAGCCCCGATCCTGCCGCTGGCCACTTCTGAGCCCTGCCCACCTGGCTGTGTTGGCTTTGCAGGAATGTGACCACTCCCACACAGATTCCCTGGAAGACGAGGAGATTGAGGTCTTCTATAAAATGCTGACCCAGCGAGTGGAGATCGACTCCGCCTTCGCAGAGGCTTCGGGCTCAGGGGAGACCCTGTCAGTGGATCAGCTAGTGACATTCTTGAAGCACCAACAGAGGGAGGAGGGGGCAGGGCCTGCACTGGCCTTGTCCCTCATCGAGCGCTATGAACCCAGTGAGACTGGTGAGGGCCTGGTGGTCCCAGGGCCACATGGCTGGGAGAACCTGAGGATACTGCAGCCAGAGAGATGGGGTACCAGCCCCAGGGCCCCTGGGCAGTGCTCACCTGGCCTGGTAAAGCAGGCAAATGGGAGACAGGACTCCAATGCCGCTGCTCCTCCCTGGAGCTCAGTTTTGCTCTTGTCCCTCTTTCAGAGGACCTTGAGGGCCCCTCCCCAAGAAATAGGAAAAGAGGTGGCTGGAGAAGCCACACTGTTCCTCCCTTCCTTGAGTCATTCTGGGCCTAGCTTTGAAAGGTGACAGAACAGAAAAGGTGGAGCCTCGCCGTAGATGGGGTTCCCATCTAGGGCCACAGAGAAGGAGATAAGAACCTGCTTGCCGAGGCCTTTCAGTGTGAGGACACAAGAGGAGGAGGGGCCTCACTCTGGGGAAACCATGGTCTGACTGGGTACAGACTTCTTCCCAGAGCTATTGAGAACCAGCTGGGGAGGGCAGGCAGAGGGAGGAGAAGGACCCTGCTTCTGGAGTGGCAGCCAGCGGTGACCAGCCGTGGGCACCTCCTCCCTCCCAGCCAAGGCGCAGCGCCAGATGACCAAGGATGGCTTCCTCATGTACCTGCTGTCAGCTGACGGCAATGCCTTCGATCTGGTGCACCGGCGAGTCTATCAGGACATGAGCCAGCCGCTCAGTCACTACCTGGTGTCCTCCTCACACAACACCTATCTGCTGGAAGACCAGCTCACTGGGCCCAGCAGCACTGAAGCCTACATCCGGTGAGCTCCAAGGAAGTCTTGGGATGGGAGCTTTGGTGGGACCCAGGCCAGGATCTGGATGGTCCTAGCTGCACCCCTTCTCGCAGGGCACTGTGCAAAGGCTGCCGCTGCTTGGAGCTTGACTGCTGGGATGGGCCCAACCAGGAGCCCATCATCTACCATGGCTACACTTTTACTTCCAAGATCCTCTTCTGTGACGTGCTCAGGGCCATTCGGGACTATGCCTTCAAGGTGGGCATGCTTCTGATGGCGGGGAGGGGATGCCAGGGAGCTAGCCCTCCTAACCTGCCCTTGGGCTTGCAGGCCTCCCCCTACCCAGTCATCCTGTCCCTGGAGAACCATTGCAGTCTGGAGCAGCAGCACGTGATGGCACGACACTTGCGTGCCATCCTGGGGCCCATGCTGCTGGACCGGCCACTGGATGGAGTTACCAGTAACCTGCCTTCCCCAGAGGTATGGGGAGGGGGTGCCTCTAAAGAGGGCAGGAGGCTTTCTGGGAGGTTGTGTGGGCCCTGACAGTTGCCCCTCCATTCCCAGCAACTGAAGGGGAAGATCCTGCTGAAGGGGAAGAAGTTTGGGGGTCTGCTGCCCCCTGAAGGGGAAAATGGCCCTGAGGCCACTGTGTCAGATGAAGATGAGGCTGCTGAGATGGAGGATGAGGCCGTGAGGAGTCGGGTGCAGCACAAGCCCAAGGTTCAAGGGGGAGCTGTAGGGGTGGAGCAGACCCAGGGCCTTCCCCACATTTATGGGGCATTTGCCTTGCTCAGTTCTCTGTGGCTGCCATTCAGACCCTCTGCCCCTTCTCTCTGTCTCCCACTGTCTCTCTGTGTCTGGGTTTCTGGCTCTCAGTGCCCACCCTGCCCAACCCTTGGCTCTAACCTGGGCCTCCCCACGGCCCCCAGGAGGACAAGCTCAGGCTGGTGCAGGAGCTCTCTGACTTGGTCATTTACTGCAAGAGTGTCCATTTTGGGGGCTTCTCCGATGCTGGCCCCTCCAGGCAGGCTTTTTATGAGATGGTGTCCTTCTCTGAGAACCGTGCTCTCCGAATGCTACAAGAGTCGGGTGAGTCCCTCCCTGCATGCAGAAGGTGCCACACACCTCATGGCCATGTGGGCTGACCAAGGCTAGTCCTGGCCTCTCCCTGCTCTGTAAGCCCCACTGCTGACTAGTTCACACTTCCCTTCAGGAAACAGCTTTGTCCGCCACAATGTGGGCCACCTGAGCAGGATCTATCCAGCTGGATGGAGAACAGATTCCTCCAACTATAGCCCTGTGGAGATGTGGAATGGAGGCTGCCAGATTGGTATGGGTTAGCTGGGGCTCAAGGAGCCAGGATGAGGCTTCAGTCCTGAGGCCAGACTTGGAGCCTTGAAATAGGGGGTCTGGGGACCCAACCAGAATCAGATGCAGGAGTGTATGGAACGGGTAAACTGTTTGGAAATACCTGCCTACCAGCCAGCCAGTGTCTGAAAATGCAGAGTTAGCACACTGGTCTTTGAATTTTGCCACCAGAAGTGGTATGCATGATTGATGTGGTGGGTCAAGTTAAGGTAGAAAGAGAGCAATGGTCATTGAGTGCTATTGGATTCTGCTTCCAACTCACCAAGGGGCCCTAGGCTTTGGTGTGCCCCGTGCAGGCTAGGTGTAGGACCCCAAAGCCAGCCCATAGTCCATGACTCTCTGTCTTGCCTGTAGTGGCCCTCAACTTCCAGACACCCGGGCCAGAGATGGATGTGTACCAGGGCCGCTTCCAGGACAATGGAGGCTGTGGATATGTGCTGAAGCCCGATTTCCTGAGAGACCTCAACACTCCCTTTAATGCACGTTCTCTGACTCCAGGACCCTGGTTGGCTCCAAAGAAGCTAAATGTGAAGGTACGGCCAGATCCAGGAGGGATAGGTACCCTTCTACCCCTCTGCCATTCCTGAATCCTTAATCATCCACCACCTTTCCTCAGATCATCTCAGGGCAGCAGCTGCCAAAAGTCAATAAGAGCAAGAACTCAATAGTGGACCCCAAGGTGACAGTGGAAATCCACGGGGTGAGCCAGGACATGGCCAGTCGCCAGACTGCTGTAATCACTAATAACGGTACGGGCTGGGCCGGGCTGGGCTAGCCTAGCTCCTGGAGCTGATATCCAAGTTGTTGATACATAATTCCTGTCCCTGCAGGTTTCAACCCACGGTGGAACACAGAGTTTGAATTTGAGGTGGTTGTGCCTGAGCTTGCCCTGGTCCGCTTTGTTGTGGAGGACTACGATGCCTCCTCCAAGAATGATTTCATTGGCCAGAGCACCATCCCCTGGCACAGCCTCAAGCAGGGTGAGTGTCTATAGGGTGTGGGGATGGCCAGCACTGGAGAGACAGGGCCTGGCTTCTTTAGGGCTGGAATTGGCCATGCCTTGGCACAGACTCCTTGAGTAACTAGAACTTTCCTCCATACCCATCTGTCTGCCAGGATACCGCCACATCCATCTCTTATCCAAGAATGGAGACCAGCATCCATCTGCCACCCTCTTTGTGAAGATCACACTGCAGGACTAAGGCTTGGGGTGTTCGGTGGGGTCTGCTGTGAGTGGACTAGGCCCTGTGTCCACACCTAGAGCCAGGGCAAGTGTGGCCACTCCAACATCAGACACTGAGCCAGGGGCCCCGGAACTGCCTTTAGCTCTAACATTGTCAATGCTGCTGCCTCTGTATGGTCCTGGGAGCTGGCACAGTACCTGCGACTGTCCTTAATTCTATTAAGAACAACACTGCAGCCCTTGGCACCCTTTGGCCAGCCTTAGGTGGAGACTTTTTTAAAGAATCACATTGAAAGTAAGCCTGGTGATCTCTTTACCTGGACACAGAAAGTCCCCTGGGAAGTACATGTGTGTCCCTTCCTCTTGTTTGTGGGGGTTGTCTGGAGAGAGCAGCAAGAAGCAAACCCCTCTGTGGAGGACACAGCCTGCAGGGTCACAGAACCTTGTTTCCTGGGAGGGGAGCCCACCAAGCGATTGGGCTTGAAGGCACATGTACCACGCCTGGTGCAGCCACCAGCATTTATTGACAAGGAGGACAGGAGCCCCAAGGGGAGTGGGAGCAAGCTCCTTCCACGGCTCAGAAGAAACCCAGCTTCTTCTTCTCCTGCTGCTGCTTCCACTTGGCCATGCTGTAGAACTCTTCCTTGGATTTCCCAAAGATATCTTGGAAGTCAGAATCTGAGAGATAGAACTGGAGGGTGGGGAGGGAGTGCAGTTAGGAAAGAGGGTCACTGCAGCCCAGAGTTCTGTCCCACCCAGAGGACTCATCGGGGCACCATACGGCCCTGCACCTGTCTGCCCATCATCTAGCTAGAGCACATCTCCAAGGCCACCCCTCCAGTGCAGTTCTAGATGTACGGGTGCTGGGGTGGTGAATGGCAGGGTCTGGGTGCTCACCTCCCTGCGGGCGGGGTCCACACCCTGCGGCAAGTCGGCAGCATCCTTGTGCATCAGCTGTTCCCTGGGCAGATTCCCGCTGACTGCTGAACAGGTGTCACTGACACAGGTGCTGGCACTTGTCCTGGTGCTGGTGACTGTGGCATTCATGCTGGGGTCCAGCTCCAGCTCCTTCTGTGAACTGTCCTGGGAGCCCTTGAGGGCTGAGGGACCTGTCCCATTGCCCGGCTGCTGGGATGGCTGAAAGTTGTTGACTTCCTGCCCAGAGAAGGGCCTCAGGCTGGGGTAGAAGGGTTACAGGCAGCCCACAAAGAAGCCACGCTAACACGCTGAACACCCTGGCCTCTTGCCCCCAACTACAGCCCTGCTGCCTACTATTGCCTTACCCCTGCCACTGTCCACCATCATCCATGCCACCTGAGCCCAGGCCACTGTGGGGAACTCCAGGGGCCCCATGCTCACCACAGTTATCTCAGAGATAGCAGACCCTGATCCCAGGCTGCCCTCCATCACTTCTTTGTAGGACTGGTTGTTCTGGGAGTGAAAATCAGGCTGGAGCAGGAGCAGACCCAGGAGGGCTGAAGGAAACTAGGTCTCCCTTGTATGTGCTGGAGGCCCTTGACCAGAGCAGTACTCCCTCCCCGAATTAGAGTGGGGCTGGATATTTCAGGCCACACTCACCATCCACTTGTAGGGGTCCCAAGCGAAAAACCATCCTGTGAAGGTGGGAGGCTCATGGCCCTGCTTGACCAGCACGATGGGTGTGGCCAGGCTCCTCCCTGCCAGGTGAGTCTTCAGGTACTCCCGGCCCCAGGTCACCGCCTCCTTCTTCCACTCACCTGCAGCTTCTCCAAGCCAAAGGAAGACCTGGGCCACAGAGGGGGCCTAGCCTTGGGCAGGTAGACTGGCTTCCTGGAGCCACCCACCTCATCCCACTTGCCTATCTTTCTGATGGCCTCAGACCTTGTATGCACATCTCTGGTCAATCAGATACACCCAACAAGCTCCCATACAAAGAATGTCACAGGCATGCAAGCAGCAGCACACAAAGCTTTACCTAGCACCCATCATGTGCCAGGCACTGGGGATTCAACAGCAAAGACAGGCCACATCCTTGCCCCTGTACAGCTTTCATGAAGGAACAAACTACATTTGTCTAGGGAGAAAGCAAAGAAGTAACAATCCCTGAGGCAGTGGGGTGCCTGGCCTGCTCAGAGCACAGTGAGAGAGCTGCAGAGGTTGCAGCAGGAGCAAGGGGAAAGGAGGAAACTGGGGCTGGTTGGGTCAGCCGGGGCCCTAGCAAGGGCATTGGTTTTTCTCTGCGAGATGAGAGCCCATAGCCTCATCACTAGCTCGGTGCTGCAGACACCCCCCACACGGATGCACTGACACACAGACACAATCATCTGCTGCTGTACAGCTGGACACAGTCCTTCACTATTGTCAAACATTGTGCTACATACACAAGCAATCACACTTGATTAGCAGCCACATGCAGCCAGCCAGTAATAGCACTGAGGGTCACACAGAAATATCCGCAGGACCGATGTGTCACAAAGTGCCTGCCTGGCAAGTGCAAGGTCCTGAGTTCAATTCTCAGTACAAAAAAAAAAGATACAAACTCCGTCATACCCACAGCTGGTCACATGGTGTCCCCTGTCCCACAGTCTCACCAGTTCTAACTCATCTGCCAGGTCTGGTCACAGCACTCACTGTGGTCATCTCACACACAGCCATATACGCAAAGGCAAATGCACACTCCCAGGATCATACACTGATACGTGGCCAGTGTTCCTGTTCCTCTGGACTGGGTCACAGTGGCCCTCCTCAGCCCAGGACAGGGGAGCAGTTTTTCTGGGGTCATTCCACTTGCACTCACGTGACACTGACAGGATCAGCCACAAGCATGCAGTCACCCACATACAATCCGAGGGCACACAGTTTACACATTTGGTCACAACCACATGAGTTCCAACTTGGCATCCTCGTGTCCTAGAGTCTCACTGCTGTCACACAGTGATACAGACTTGTCCATGTCCACAGCCACAAAGTAGGTCATGGTGCTACACGCAGTGCCAGTCTTACATGCAGAACCAGGTGGCCAAACACTCGCCCACAGTTGGACAAATAGAGACACACACCCTGCCACACGCCAGCCAGCCAAGAGTCCCTGAATTTACCTCCTGCCAAGTGTCCAGTAGTATGATGTCATGCTTGTCTAGGTCTTCTTGGCTGAAGAACACCACTTCTGTGAGGACCAAGCAGCCCATCTGGCTGGAGCACTCAAACAGTCGCGGCTGGAAGCTGGAGGCCTCCTCAGGGAGCCTGGCCAGCAAAATGGCGAGGAAAGTGAGGAGCACTGTTCCTCTGGACTGGGTCACAGTGGCCCTCCTCAGCCCAGGACAGGGGAGCAGTTTTTCTGGGGTCTGAGCTCTACCCGCCCCGTAGTCCCTCCAGGAGCACCTGCTCATCTCTGGGTTTAGGGTCCCTTTCTGCCAGTGGACAAAGCTGATCTGGTGCTCTGTCTGACCTTAAGCAGCTGTGACACAAGCTGCCCTGTGACATTTCCCACAACTGGCTTTAGGAAAGAAGGTCCCTGATTCAGTGGGTGGGGCGCGAGTCAGGATGGGAGGGTCCCCTGGACATTCTAACAGGGAACTGACTTGAGGTCCAGGGTGGAAGGAAGAAAGCTAGACTGAGTGAGGAGATGGTGGGACTGAGCTCAGGAGGCCTGGGGAGGAGTGTGATGCAAAGACTTTAGCCTCACAGACATCAAGCGTGCCTGAGACACAGTTCCCACAGGCCCTGGTACTTTGCTCAGAGCAGTGACAATGCAGGGAGTGGATTCTGCCAGCAGAGGGCACCATTGGGCCGCTTGCCTAAGTTTCCTGATCCTTGTTACCCAGGATGAAGTGTGGGCTCCTAAATCCTGGAGGTGGAGTCCTCAGGTCATTGTATCTCTCCGGCCCTCCACACAACCCTAATTAGTTACCCACACTCTTTGAGCCTCAGTTCCTCCACTGTAAAAACACCTTCTTCCCTATCCTGTTACCTCTTGCTGGCGTAGGGGGCCCGGCCTCCTAGCACCTCCCAGAAGTAGGGAGGCTCCTGACCCTCCAGAACAGTTTCCTTGTTATTTCCGGAGACGACATTGACCACCATCCGTGCCATCTCACGCTGGTCACCATTACAGCCCTGGCAAACACAGAGGGAGAAGCCCTGCAGGGGGCACACTTTTTACCTCCATCCTCCTGAGCCACAGGAGGCCTAAGCTGATGGTGGGGTATGTACAATCAGGGGTTCTCTTCCCCTCCACCCCTCAGTGTTCCCTGCTGATCAGAGTCACAGGATCTTGGAAGCCTCTCTGGGTCCAGAGCATGGGCAGGACTCCCACTGGTGGTTAATTATGGTTTATGCCAGAGATCAGAGTCAATTCCAGCAAAGTGGCCTAGGCTTCCCCTCTCTTCCCAAGAGACTTGGAAGGACTATGCCTGATATTCAAGGCAAGAAGTCAGTGAGGCAGCTTGTGCCAACCCTAGAGTACTCCCACGTCCACCTGTCACTTTCCTCCTTTAATTAACTGGCCTATCTTGGGTTGAACTAGAAGCCTGCATCAGGTAGAAGTAGACCCATCCCAATCTGACACCACTGTCCTAACTGTAAGTCAGGTAGCCAGTGCCTCATGTACCTTCCCAAACCAGAAGTAGCAGGCATCAGCTGTGACCAGCAAGAACACGTCACTAGAACTGAGGGATGAGGCTCGGGCCGGCACCTCAAAGGTCCTGGTGTTGTGGCTCTCGGTGCCCTGTACATGGAAGAGCCTCGTGCCTGGTGCTGACTGCCCCCTCTGGTTGTCTCCAGTGATCTCCTAGAAGAAAGCTAGGTCTTAGGGTGAGGCAAGGGTTCCTGGGGGCTACCTCCCCATCCCATGAGAACCACACTCAGAGATCAGGCCACCGTTGGCCTCTGGATTCTTTCTAAATGGACCCTCACCACATCTCTGAGAGGTCAGGATGTTAGCTCAGGCCTTAAAGGTAGAACATGTGACCCCTTTTTGGCTCAATTTCCTGGCCCATGCTCTTGCCTGATGCCTAGCCTTGAAACTAGGAGAAGAAACTCAGGTGGGGTTACCCTTGAAGCTTCTGGGTCTGGGACAAGCACCAGGGTCTGGAAAGCTAGCTCCAGGCCTGAAGAGAAGGTACTTAGCAAATAGATAGAAGGCCACAGACGCATGGAAGACTGGTGAAGCAGTTGCCACAGTGGTAGAGTGGTCCTTACCTGGAAGACCACCAGCTGACCCTGAAAGATGGCAAGGAAGTGGGGAGGCTCGCTGCCCATGGTCACATGCACCTGCACCAGGGCTCCCTGGTACACGAGGTCCAGCTCCTCAGCATTGCAGATC